ATCTTTGGTGAGCTCATTGGAATTGCAAATTTATATAATACCTTACAAAGTCTCATGTCACCTTTTGTATTCCTTCTAGGATCATTTTTCTATCAAGTTGCAAGTTGTGCATTTTGTTTATTAACATTTATTAAACTATAAAGTCTTGGCTATTGTATTGTTATCTAATTTTATAACACTTTTAGGAAAAGCTTAAAATACATAAGTTGCCTTTAAATATAGTTTGTTTGTACTTTCTGTTCAGTCAACTATATGTGGTCTTGCATACACACTTACATGTTATAAGTTAACATCTCCAACTGTCCTCCTCTCCCCTCTGAGTTTGCCTAATTGGCACTCTGTTTCTTTAATTAAAATCTCTTCTAATTGTAGCCAAAGTGCAAATGTTCCTAGGCCCATAATTTCCCTATTGCGTCGCTGAACCATTGAAGGCTGCAGGGGAGGAGTTTCAAGTGTGAATAATACAAAAACAGAGCTTCACTTCAAATAGGTCTGGTTCTGCTGATTGAGGTCAGTCATCTAAAGCCCCAAGACAACTGTATAGAGAGTGATGGTGTTGGATTCAGTGCATAATATAGGCCTTTGTCAAGCATCCAGGCTCAGGTTAGCATTAAAAGAAAAAACTGTACAACACCCGCTATTGTTGTGTCCAATGATTCCCAAAATGTAATACTGTCCTTTTGCATGGGACTGCTGTGACGCTGAGCCAAACTATGTCAACCTGCTTTTGATGGTTTAGCCTACATCAATTATTCACCAACGTTTCACACCAAGTTTCAGAACAGCTTTGGCCTTTGGCCAAATCTAACAAATAAGTACCAAGTAAGAGACTGATCTGAAAATGAATGACCCATTAGGAGGTGTAAAATGATTTATTTATCCCAGAAGTTAAAGGTGTATCATATAACTTTTCTTGTGGAGGGTCCGTCAAATGCTTTTCTTTATGGAGAAGTTATTGCTTTGTCTGGAATGTTTCATAGTATAGTATTAAACTATCTTTATGGAGTCCAAACCAGACCAAGTTATAGGTCAGATCTGCGGAAAGGCAACTCCACTCACAGTCAGAGCGCCTGTTTTTCTAGGTATTTTTGAGCTATAAAACCACCTGTAACTGAATAATTGTAAGGTAGAACTGTATAATGTCATATAGTGTGTAACATTCCAGGCAGAGCAATGACATAGAAACAAGCAAGTGATTGACCCCAACAAAAAGTTACATAATGGACCTTTAAACAGACATGCAGTTAACTAGAATAATTGTGAATGACAAAAGCTGGGAGAAAATGGAACCAAGTCAAGAATAAAACAGCAAAACTTGCTAGTATCATTAGGAGAAGTTTATTTACAACTATTGCCTTCGCTATTACATTTCAAAGATGAAACAAAATACAAATTTAAAAATCTATATATCGACACGAGTTTCAAGTTTCTGTTTTGTCTACTTCTAATACATGAGCAATTGTACTGTAATTACTGTACAGTTGTTTATTTTGGGTGGTAAATATGGCTCCATGACGAATCCTTATTGTTTCTCAGTTTTTCTAGCACTCGGGGCAATTTTCCGGCGGTGGGTGGCCCGCGCTGCTGAAAGAATGCAAGGGGGAAACTGTGACTTCCTCTCTCCTAACTCCAGTCTGTACGCTTGAGTGAAAGGCAACAAGGGCCGAACGAGGCTAGCGAGCACGTAATAAGAAACACTTAGCATCTCATAGACACGCTCTCGTATCCGGACTCGTAAACCTTAATGACAGAGTGGCGATAAACAGTGATTAGGATGCCCCTGGTGCTTTTTACCTCTTCAAAAGCCCAGGCAGGTGTGCATACGAAAGAGTCACATTATAGAGCTGTGTTCGCAAATTTATGTCAAGTGAACTTGATATGCTAAATGTAGGGACGTCATCTCTGGTCTGAATACTGGTGTCCAATTAACTACACCCACCACATATTTTGACCAAACGAAATAATGGTAGTTTGGAATAGACGAAAAATACTGCATAACTACAGTACTATTCAGAGGGAGTAATGAGAGACATTAATTTTGCTATCTGGGAAAAAATAGTATTAAGTATTTCAATAGGCATCAGTTTTGTCATTGAATATTGCCATTTTAAAATAGCAGATTTGTGGCTTGATTTATCTACACTTGTGTGGTGTTTTTATGTCTTTGTCTGCCATCATCACATACTTCTTTAATCTAACTTAAAAGTGCATTGTGTCACTTTTCTGGTGGAGCGTCAATCAAATGCTTTTCTCCGTGGTGATGTTATTGCTTTGCCTGGACTTTTTTACAATATGATATTTAACCTTTCTATTTTCATGGAGATGAACCACACCAAGTTACAGGTGAGATCTGTGAAAAACACCTCACAGTCGGAGTGCCTGTTTTTCTAGATATTTTTAAGATATAAAACCACCAGTAATTTAACCCTCACGCTCTCCTCAGGGTCACATAGACCTGAAGAAATTTTTTTTTCCTTCCCGCTCTCTTGGGGCAAGTCAGTCAGACCCAAAAATGTATTTTCTCGCCAGGCAAGAGGGTTAATAAATATAAGGTAGATCTGTTTAATGTCATACTGTGGAGCATTCCAGGTGAAGAAATGATAAATCTATAGAAACAATCAGGTGAGGGACCCACAACAAAAATTGTGCCTTTAAAATATTATTTTGATAAAGGTAAACAGTATAATTTTTTATAGTATTTGGCTTCATTTTTACATCTGTAGTAATTTCACATGTCCTTTATATTCTGCACAACACCTAGCTCCACAGGCTGGAAAAGTGGAATCCACACTAATATCATATAATTTAATAAGACACATTCAAGTCATTTCAGTGAACAGAGGAGATAAATGGGGGAGAGGCGGGAGGAAGCAGAGTTTGTGTGAAACGTATGAAATTAGCAGGAGATGAGAAGTGAACAGCTGTGGGTGTGATAGAATGATCAGTACAGTCATTATGGAGTAACATGATCCATAGAGTCACATACTTACCATTTCATCTACTGCCATCCTTTACTGTAAATTAGTTGGCATTAAAATGTTTATAGGGAAAACAAAGAGGCTTTTAATATGGAAGCAGCAATGGAAATCAGTGAAGGATCCCAAATTATATTATGAAAGAAATAACATAGGGACAACCATTTTGCAAAAGAAGCCATATTTACCATGAAGTAGTGACCGCCTGTGCTCAGAGCTGATGTTTTACCAAATGAAAGAGCATGTGGCAGGACGTGGGAGGTGGGACCAACACATTGTAAACAGAGGAGAAAAGCAACACTTCCACGTTGTCCAGAATCAATGTAGGCTTTTTTATATCTAAATTTCATATGAATGCTCTAATAAAGGTATATAGGTTGAATTTAGTAGGGACACTGTGATTGGGCTTTTTCTCTTCTGATACTTATATTGATACTTTTGCTTTTGCCAGTACCTGGTATCGGCTGATACTAGAACAGAGACTTAGAATATTATTTATTTTATTTCAACACAAATGGTGTATACATAAATATTATCTAAATGTGTTTTATAACTGTTATTTGTCATTTAAAGTAACTAAGGAACAGTTTTGAAAAATATTGTTCAACAAGTCAAGATGCTTGAGGCCAACATTTGTCAGTATATCGTCTAATTATACCACAATTGCACATTTATAGATCAAAACAAGATATCAACAGAACTGATATCAACTGAACCGATATCTTAGAGCTGATACCTAATCCTTCAAAGTATTCCATATTGGCATGCCATATCTGATACCAGTATCATATCTGTGTATCTCTAGAATTTAGTTTAATATAATTCAAAACTGTATTCTTACAATTAGATAGGAAAATTGGCTCAGGCTGCCGGTATCTTTTTGGGTCACCACTGTAAAACATCTGCTTCTTTCTGCAGGTTTATTGATGAGTTGCTTGTTATAAACGCGGTACTGTAATATAGAAAACATGTTACAAGCTGGGTACTTCTGAACAAGTGTATTTTTGCGATCCATTCAGCAATGGAAGAAAATATATTCTTCATTGAAAATTTGGGCACAGAAATTCATAGTTTGAATGCAGCTGGAAACGTGTGAGACAGTGTAGTGTGAATCTAGGTCGCCAGACTTTACTCCTGAACTTTTTATGGAAGTCTAGTTCAACAAAACATCTTAATAACCTTATGGATAAACCTGCACCAAAGCCCACATTTCTCGAAGCATCCCATTCTCATTCACACAATCTCTCATCACGATGCAGTGGAGGCGTATTAAATCCTGTTTATTGGTAAATCCTAACGGGCCGCCCTTCCAGATGAGCTTTGGAAGGGAGCATGTTGAGGAGCACCATCCCATCAGCTCAAATACGAGTCACAATTCAGCCCAGGCAATCTGCAAGGACAGCTCAGGAAAAAGATGTGCTCAAATGAAAGCAGCCTTTTCACCTCCACCTGGCTGCACCAACTTGCACGCAGTAAGGTCTCGCGTTTTATTGGGATCCTGAATCATAGCGGGACTGCTCTGTGCCAGCAGCCTGCCCTTCAAAAGATTACAAAAATCAATTCTATTGTAATCACACATGGTGACTGGGGAGGGCTTAAATCTTTCCATACTCCTGTCTCCCCTTGTCCCTCTGTCTTTATGTTTGTGTCTGTGTAAGCCTCGTCGATAGCCTGTTTTCACTCGGTCCTCTTTCTGTTGGACAAAAGGCTCATTTTGCAGGTTTAGAGCGACCAGAAGCCTGATGTCACATGGGAGTAGCACAGGCAGAGCAACAGAAACAAATGGATGCAGGGAAGACTTTTTTAAAGTAGTACTGAGCATGTTCCTGTAGATGTAATTGACTGGAGAAACTCCATCTTCTCTCCTAATCCCAGTGTAAGACATGGCACCTACTTGGTATGCAGCTCGGGCCACAAAATATGTTCTCAGAACGACTTTAAATTGCATTTCTCTGGATGTTGTGGAGCTGTGGTTCTGTGTGTCATTTTTACATGGCCTCACATGTGTTTATATCTTTTCTGCAGAGGTCCTGATGAACACCAAGTCAGAGACGTCTGATCTGAGATGGACCATCTTTTCACGTGCCAAGCCTGAGGTATGTAACCCAAGATTCAGTGTGTTATCTGTATTCCTAACACAGGCCTCACGATGGCGGGGCTTTTTGGCTTCCAGCTGTTCCTTTGTTACTTTGTCTATAAAAGAGCTCCATATATGGCAGGTAACTGACAGAGTCAAAGAAACACAGGCCGCGCACTGGGCTCAGAGTGTATTAAAAACAGATGCTTTGATATATCCCATCAGCCTTGGCCTCCATGCGTAGCGCCCACAGTTTTGAACATTTGAGTCAGAAAAAGACATATTTGTAATGTGATCAGCTGAGGAGCGGTTGCTAAGGGTTTGTGTGCCAGCAGAATCAGTGACCAAAATCGCTCCTCTCACTAATGTTTCTAAGGGAAAATGCTTGGAGTGATCCTGGCAAGGATATATCTGAGACAGGACGGAAACACTCGCTACTCCACAAACGTGTCTGTGCCTTTGATTCAAAAAGAGAGGAAGATGATTGGTTTTCAGAAGCCTTTCATTTGCATCAGTATATCAAAAGTCCCATTTGTAAGAGTAAAAATATGGCTTGATTAAATTTCTTAAAGCTGTCCTCGGTTGAAAAATGTGTTGAATGACAGGCGCGATTGGACACACAGTGTGAGCTTTTTGTAATTTAAAAAGTGCTTTCATTTCATTAACATTGTGGGAAGGGGTTCAAGCTTTTGGCACGGTTCATGTCTATTCTCCCTTTTACTTTTCATCGCCATTGGTTTAGACGTGTGATGATAATAAAAACCTGTACACAATGGCTCCATGACTCAGAACTGTTTCTGCCATGTAAAAAACATGTACAGTATCTCTGTGCTGGGATGAGCCTTGGCCCCTGAGCGTTCTGTGTGAACCGCCGCCACAATGAAAGAACATGACGACTGCTCGCTTTCTGTTGTGGTATCTGAGCTGGGACCCTCCCAGCACAGGGGGGCACAACCACAGCCAAATAGCTCCAGGATTAAACATAATGTCTATGGTTTTCAAAAGGTGGTTTGCAGTCTTCTTCTGACTGTGTTCACAAGTACATTACAGTCTTGAACATATATTTTATACCTAGAAGTTTACTTTGTCGTTATTAAAATCCGGGCTTATCCTGGGTCTGTTTTAGCATTTGGCATGAAAAATCTGACAATCCTTTCTGCTTTGCCCAAAACTATTTTTAATTAAAAGAAACATATTATGCAAAATATACTCAAGAGCCTTAAATCTTGTTTTGATGGTTCCCCATTGTGTTACTTACTCAAAATTATATTTTATGCATCTTTGAGTAATTTATATTGTCCTGCATTTGAGGAGCTATTGCCCTCAAAATTCCCATTTCCACCTATCCCCCATTACAGATAGGATAGATGTATGGGCGGCAGTAGCTCAGTTGGTAGAGCATTCGCCCACTGATCTGAAGGTTGGCGGTTCGAATCCAGCTCTCAACATAAACATCACAGGTTGAGCGGTCAGATCCACTGACCCACAGGTTGGTTGGTGTGATTCCAGCTCCCACAGATGAATGCTGCCGTTGTGTCCTTGGGCAAGACACTTAACCCACCTTGCCCACAGTGTCTGCGTACACTGGTGTGTGAATGGGTGAGTGGTTCCTTGTTGTAAAGCGCTTTGAGTGCCTTGAAGGTGGAAAAAGCGCTATAGAAAAATGTGACCATTTACCATTTACCATGGTACAACAGTGCTGCGTAGCCAGTATGGGACACAGACCCCACTCACTACCATTAAGTGTGGCTAACCACTGGCAGGGCCGTCAGCGTGGTCAGGCAGCATGGCACTGTGATTGTGATCACAATTACCTTGACATACACTAAAGGGGCAAATGGCATAGGCTTATTATATTTTTCCTTGAAATGAATGTGTTAAATCAACAAAAAGCTAAAGTTCTCATAGATTACAACCATATTACAGAAAAAAAATGTCAATGTTCAAACACCCTTTACTCTATTTACTCTATAGTAAACCATGTAAAACTCAGTCTACCATTTTGGCATTGGCATTTTATCAAACAGTGTACAAGTGCATTATTGTACCTTGAATGACATGTTTTCACCTTGTACTTTATTTTGACACATTATCTACTTTCATCTATTTCCCTGAAGTAAATCATACATAATGGTTGGTATGAGACCTTGAAAGACCCCCAAAGCTATCTCCTTAAATAAATGTTGTCAAATCCTGCCTATACTTAGTTCCTTATTTGTTTACACAGTTACAGTCGTGCATGTAGGATGAAAGTGAAGTTCCCAGTGCTTTTCTTAAAGAGATTCAGACCTGGCTCCACCGCTGCACAGTAATTCATTCAGACTGGTATCCCGCCTCACTCCACATATCATCTGCAAATGGATTTTTAAAGATTTGCATATTTACATAACTGAATTTCTGAGCCTGAAGTTCGCCAGAACTGCTAAATTCTGTCCTGGCTATGTTAATTTCTTGCTTGTTTGCTCCTCGTGGGAACATAGTGATACAGAATATGTTTGGTGTTGACTCACTTCAAACAAGAAGGCTTTTAATGCTGCTTAGGATTCTTCAGAGGGGCTGCACTTCATGTTATTTGCCTTGTCCCTCTGCATCCGTGTGTTTTTGTTCCAAACATATCTAAGGACCAGAAGCTGTGTCTGTTTTGGAGGTTTTGTGCAGTCGTGTACCCTGTTTGACAAGTAAGGCCTGTATTCCCACTAGTGGAGACGCAGCTCAGCGGGACGAATGATTTAACCACTTAGATTCAAATGTGGCCTGGTCTAGACTCCACAGTAGGCCTCATCTGCCCTACACACACGTGACAGGTGCAGCCCAGACAAGAGCCAACAATACTTTAAAAGCAGTTGAACTATTGAAAGAACTTTTTATATGTCCATTTATTTTTCAGACCCTTGTAAAATTTTGTAAAGATTTGTTGAGAGCGTTGTGAAAAGTGACTTGAATTTTTTAGGTCATGAAAGATGTTTGTTGAACGTGAGCTATGACAAGGCTTTGTTCTCTTTCCTCGCAGTGGGAGGAAGTAAGTGGTCTGGATGAAGAAAATAACAGTGTGAGGACTTATGAGATCTGTCAGATGGACAGCTCATCGAGCCAATGGCTGCGCAGCGGCTTCATCCAGCGCAGAGGAGCGTCTCAGGTGTATGTGGAGCTGACATTCACCATGATGGAGTGCTCCTCGCGGGGAACGCACCACCGCAGCTGCAAAGAAACCTTTAACCTCTACTATTACGAGGCTGACACTAATGAAGCCACTGCCACTTACCCGCCCTGGATGGAGAATCCATACGTCAAGGTACGCCCACCTCACACTCCCTATTGTATGCTAATAGCACCATGTATGAACAAGGTCTTACCCGCTGTATTTGTACAAACATTTCATTTCATGGCTAGATCCGAATCGGATCAGAGTGGTAAAAGCATTTTCTGTTTTTCATTTTTTGCCTTTCAAGGTGTGTTATTGTTTCAATAGATAAAATGCTCGCAGGAATATCCAATCTACTTTGTAAGCCCATTTTCTGTCCTGTGGGTTTCATTTTCACAACAAATGGCTCATGAATGCTGTACTTTTTTCATTAAAACGTTTCAAAAGCTGCAGTGTGTTCTTAAGCATAGTGACAAAAACACACGGCCCTCTCCTCAACTTTACTACCTTTTAATAATGTAACTCTGACAGAGAAATAAAAGTGATGAAATGTTCTCTGTGATGAATCACCCATCACAAGCACGTTTTAGGTCCCCACAAGTTCAAAGCACTCGCTCTCTAACAAATGGGGAACAATGGCTGCCAAGAAGGTAGAGCATCAATCTGAAGTCACTGTGCTTTGCAAAGTGATCAATAATGTAAAACATATGTGTACTTCATAGGATAAGATGACAAAAACATACTGAAGCACTGGTGCTGCTTTTAGACTCAAGCCTGTGAGTTGGACCTCTGCCATTACATAATGATCTTTTGTTCTTCTTCCTGCTTTAGGTGGACACAGTGGCTGCAGACTTTCTCCTGAAAAAGGGAGGGGCACGGAAGTCCAATGTGAAGACTGTAAGACTGGGCTCCTTGTCCAAGAGGGGATTTTACTTGGCGTTCCAGGCACAGGGGGCTTGCATGGCTCTGCTCTCTGTCAGGGTGTTCTTTAAAAAGTGCCCTCCTCTGGTCAGCAGCCTCTCTTCCTTCCCCGAGACCGTCCCTCGAACCCTGGTCCAGGAGGCGCAGGGCGTCTGTGTGGAGCACGCCTCTCTACAGGGGCCCAGACCCCACCCCCCAAAGCTCTTCTGTGGGGAGGACGGCCAGTGGGTGGGCCAGCCAGCCACATCCTGCGCCTGTCTGCCCGGCTTTGAACCATCCGAGGGCGGCACTAGATGCACAGGTAATTGCTCTTATGGTTTAGGTATACACAAGCACGAATGCATTGAAAGGGACAAAACAATGGTGAGATGTGGGTGGGGTGCACTCAGGGGCTAAGAAGGAAGTTAATGAGGCATGGGAACAGATGTGGCTGTGAAAGAAGCTGGAGAGGTCAGATGGAGCTGCACTTATCTTAGAAGGGAAGAGCGGGGTCAAACGCTCGCTGCTGGGGCAACTTATGGTCGGCCTTAGATAGAGCATGCACAGAGGTGGAGGGGGCATGGAGGCTGGTTTGTTGAGGTTAAGATCATATCAGTGTGAGAAGATCAAAGCTAAACAGACAAAAAGAGAAAGAGCCAGGGTGATTCTCTCAGGAGTCACGCTGCAGCTCTGCCTAATGAGTCCAATTAAGAGGCTTGGTGCAAATAAGCCCCCCACATGCGCATCCTCGTGCACAAGCAGCACCAAAACTCATAAATATTAACGACACACAATCTAAACATGAGGAGTGAGAAATAAAGCTACACTTTTAGAGAAACCACTCAGTTGCATCTGTCGCGTCTGAAGGTACGGCTCAGTTTGATCTCCGTGGGGGGTGTAATGATTTTTCATAACAAAAAAATAATTTCCAACATTTTGCTTGTGGTGGAGTAGAGTTGGCATTTCAGTCGTTCTGTCACTTGAAGAGAGCTGCTGGGAAGAAACACGCACACAGCCATAAAGGGAAATTGCCTTTAGAGGGAGATTGAACAGTTAATTTGCTTCTCGCGCTGGCTATTTCAGAAAATGAAATTGACATCTAGGTTTATAATTAAATAATTTCGCCATAATGCCATTATCTGTTGTAGACAATACATTTTTCTGGGTCAAACACAGGCTCTGTCTAATGTAGAGTCTTTAAGTGCATTTAATTGGATAGATGCACTCAGGAAAAAGAAAAAAACATATGTATGATTTTGTGCTTTGTATATAGAGATTTGTTGCTGTGTAGTCTGAGATAAAATATTTGTACTAATTGCTGTCATAGTTATAAAGACAGAAAATTAATATATAAACTTATTTGAAATTTTTTAAAAAGTTGTACTGACAGGTTTATTTTAAGTACTTCTCAGTTTTTATTCAGTAAAAGGTCATTTGTGGAAACACAGTAGTGGTGTTAATTAGCGAGATTGGCATTGTTGGAGCATGTGGGACTGGTGCTTGGTGACCACTATTATTAGGCTGTTGCTTTCAATCATGAATTGTTTGACAGATCAATCTTTTTGTTGGCACTGTGTTTGGCCAAATTACTATTTTGCTTTATAAACTTAACAGCTCTTGACCACCAATCTTGTTTTGAGCAATTATAGCAAGCTGGGGTATCTTGAATCACCCTAATTTTCAGTCTGTCCCAGGGCTGACCTTGCAGAACAGGTCCATGCTAACTCTGCCCCTCACGATGAGAATGAATGTTTATTGTTTTAATCAAAGGCCGTTGCTGCACTGAGTGAGAATGTCAACAAAGCACTTTTTGGTGTGCAACATTCAAACACTGCAATGTTGAAATAAGACACTGACAAAATAGAGACATGTGGTCAACTAAAATCACAACATTTTATAATAGAGATTATAATACAGTTATTGATACCACATTATGATAACTACACCTTAATTAGCCTTAGTAAAAAGTATCAATAAATTAATGTATTAATGTTGTTGTTTTTTTGTTTGTTTTTTTACTAAGAATGATTAAGGCCTAGTAACTACTGCTAATTGAGTAGTTGCTAATCGTAAGTCATTGTTAATATACTTGTAATTAAAGTGTGGAGTTTCCCATCTACTTAATTTTTTCTAATACTTGCATTGGTTTGATATAATATACGAGTTATTAGAGTTTTACATTTACATTTGTTGCCTCCTATTCTTCCCTATCAAACAGGTTTCTCAGGTAGAGTTATTATCTGCACTACATTATCCCAGTGTAAATCTTCTAAATCTTCTCTGCACTTGTTCAGGCCCATTTTTCACCACTGCGTCTGGTTGCTGCGGCTGTTTATTCACTCACTGTCTTGTTTTTGTGGAGTGGCTGGAAAGTATATTTGGATCAATTAGCTAAGGCAGTTCAACATTAGGACTCCCAGATGCTTGTTGATTAGCAGCTCATTATTTAGAATGGGTCAGACACACTTGCCTGATAAACAGTGTGTCAATGACAAGCACATTTGTCCCCTTAATCCACTATTGACAATCAGATTCATTGCTGAGATTGTCTGCATTTTATCGCCCTTATAAGACGTTATTGTTTGTGAGTGTGCCACCATCTGGCAGCGTAATTGCACATTTAGTTTGACCTGGGTCATGCTGGGACACGGTGATCATAAAGCTTTTGTGTCATGTAACTTTGAAGCAGTGGCAAATCTTCAAACGAACTACTGTTTCTTTCTGTGTCATCCTCTTTAGCCTGTCCTGTGGGTCAGTTCAAATCTGGGACTGAGGGCCAGTGCACAGGCTGCCCCGGCTCCAGCTACACCACCATCAGGGGCTCATCCGAGTGCACCTGTCGCCCTGGGTTTCTACGGGCAGAAACAGACTCTCCTGATGCACCATGCACTGGTAAGTTCACCAAAATATATGTGGTGTATAGGCCTGTCACGGTCATCAATTTTGAAGTAAGATTTATTGCTTCATAAAACATCATAATAAACAATAATACTTTACACCAGTGTTTCCCAAAGACTGGGTCGTGGCCCTCAGGTAAGTCGAAAAAGATTTTTTTTGGGTCACCTTGTTACAATCTGCATGTAAGTCTGCAGTATACAAGGCTACATTTAATGTCCTAATAGGCTACATATGGATCCCTTTTATTACTGGTTCAATTACTGTTTTTCATTGTTTAAAACATGAGTAATACCAATTGTTCAGAAAGACACGATCACTGAGTCAACAATAAAATATCCTTATTAATGGTCAGTTACGGTCAAATCCAATTTATTTTGTGATTTACGGATAATGACTATTGACTTGAAGGTTTGTGACTTTAAAAAATATTGGTCCTCAGAAAAAAAGTTTGGGAAACACGGCTTTACACCACTGTCACAATAATTGCTAAAAAACAACAACAAGTAAAATAAAACAAGTACCGGTAGTTCATTTGTGTCTATTATGAGCTATAAAAGTTACTTATTTGGCTCTTGACAGCTAAAATCTTCTTTGCGTTCTCTACAAATGCGATGAAGATTGATTTTAACTCTCAAGATGCATGCAAATAATACTGAGTGAAATTTTTTTAAAGTTCCATCTATTATTCATTTAATTATTTGTCAATATTGTAATTGTAATAATTAATATATAAATAATACATGTCTTTTTATCCCTGAAAGGACAGTCAGAACAGATTACATGAGGGAATCTTATGCACATGATTTTCTACACATGATCGTATGAATACAGAATAAGAAGCTGTAATATGTTTTCTCCCAATTAAGGACACAAAACCTTTTGAATCATTGACCTACTTACTGGCAATTCTGTAGGTGTGGCAATGTCTGTTTCACAATACAGTACATTTAAATTCTGAAAGTAATTAAGATAGTGTCAATCAAAGTAAAACTAACGATGAATAAATGTATTGTATAAAAGATTTATCTGCTAATAATGAAATTGACTTGACACTAATCAGTATTGACACTGTACATTTTCTTGTATAATTTAGCTTTTAAACAGTAGTAGTATTCGTCTACCACCTGCCTCTTGTCATTCTTTCCCCTCCCCTGCTCCTCTTCAGCTTTCCAGCTTTTGTTTTTAAAAGTCTATGGCACATTTCTCCTTTCTCGGGTGTCATTTAGCCAGTCTCCTCTAATCTGCTTTGTGTCCATTGTGGCTCTGCTGGGCATTCAGATGCATTTCTTTGAGGCAGGTTGTTGGGGGCAGGGCTGAGAGTCCTAAGTGAAGTAGGCATTGATGCTCTTAAGTGACACCTCCATGTGGATTCAGGAATTTCAATTCAGCCACATGTTGGATGTGTGAAAGGAAGGCACGTTTTAATGAGCTGCAGTGTTGGAAAGGCCACAAAAAAGAGGATGTGAAACTGGCATCAGATTGTTGTCGGTCTGGAGTCTTAACTGGAGTCACCGGGGTTAACTAGAATTTACATCCGTATAATTCATTTCCAGTTGTATCTGTAATTACAAAGGAGTATCATAATTATTCATCATTTTATACGCCCAATCCTATTATATTTTCTGTTTTTGCTGTTATTATCTCATCCAATTCCACACATAGCTTTAATTTGTAGTTTGCAAAATTGCCAACCAGCACTGCCATCTGTAAATCACAAAGTTATATTTCCCAAGTGTTTTGCTTCAACATGATGTAAAAATTGGTCCTTTCAGAATATTAAGTTGTAAAATGTATCCTACTTCCCAAATGTTAAACTCAGAATTTATATGCACCCAGATTGCCTGTGATTTTGCCCCTCTTGGGCTTCCAATGAGAACGCTATTAGCACTTAAGTTAGCTGCAGGCTCACTGACAAAGCTCTGTCTCCTTGGCAGGAACAGAAACTCATTCACAGTAGCCGAGTGGTAATGCTGTTTAGTTATGCTTGGCTTCAGGCAATAGCCATCTTCTGACAATTTCAGACCGTGATCATTATCATCTGGTTTTAGACAAATGTAATTGCACCAGTTAAACTTTGCAAGACATATGCTCCCATGGATATGCGTACACTTTGCAGGTCTATTGTTGTGCATATGTGTAGCAGTATCAGTAGTAGTAACTAAAGTAAATAATTACAAACAAATAAAAAGGAAAATAATGACTGAGACTTACTATGTTTACTTACGTTTAACTATGGATTAAAAGTCTGTTTAATACAGACACAAGTCATTTTGGATATCTGCAAGGGCCAAAACAAGCAGGTCAAACCAGTTTTAAGATAAGCAACTAGATCCTTCTAGCTGTTGGTCTACTTTTAATTATCGTGTGATGAATCATAGTTTTGTGAAACAATAAAATAAAAAAGATGCGTGCACAAATTGAAATTATTTGGAATTATGTTAAAAACGATGAAAACAGAAAAGGGCCAGCAATAGTCACTTTTACTATTGTTAGTTTTTCATGTGTAACCTAATAGGCTAACTTTGATAACTTTTTGTCATTGCAGTGCCTCCTTCTGCTCCTCGCAGCATCGTCCCAAAGATCAACAACACGAGTCTGACCCTGGAGTGGAACGAGCCGCTGGAGAGCGGCGGCCGCTCGGACCTGACCTACTCTGTGCGCTGCTCAGTGTGCCGCTCGTCCAAAGGGCCATGCCTTCTCTGTGGAGACAGCGTCAGCTACAGGCCTGCCCAGCGTGGGCTGGTGGGCCGTAGGGTGGAGGTCTGGGGTCTGCTGCCCCACACCACATACACCTTTACCATTGTAGCACTGAACGGCGTGTCACAGCTCAGTGGCACAGAACCTGCCAGTGAGAGTGTCAACATCACCACGAGTCACGATGGTATGAGGAGAACCAGAGAAGTGTATATAAGACTATGCCATGGTTTTCATGTGTTTTAATAAACGGTCTGTGGTCTTTAGTGCCGGCACTGGTGTCTGTGATCCGAAAGAGTAACTCGACTGAAAGCAGCCTGACGCTGCACTGGACTGTGCCTGTGCAGCCACACAACACCATTCTACAATACCAGCTCCGCTACTGTGAGAGGGTACGCTACCTCCTCTCTTTACATGCACACAAAACAAGAAGAATTTAAGTAAATACATCTGTTTAGGTATTTTCTCAGAACTCATATAAAGTTCCCAGAAAACCACTACCTTCACAAAAACATTATCTTAAAACGTATCACTATTCCAGTCATCACAACTTAATGTGTTTGAATTGGTCTGAGGAATTAAGCGGAAATTAAACACGCAAGCCTAAATAATGAATAGAAAGACCAGACTAATTTAATTTCATGGGTTTTATTATTTTTAATAAAAATGTTCATAACATGGTCCTGTTCAAATGAAACAAGCATACTTTGGATTCCTTTAAAAGTTATTTATTCTCTCAGTACCTCTTTGATTAGTCTTTCACCCTCTCACACAGCTGTCTGTCCCTGTTGTCCTCTGTCTAGTTTGCAGCATGGCTAACTTTATTTTATCCCTTTAGGAGCGCCGTAGCGAGGATCAGTGCTACTACACAGAGAGCAGCAGAAACCAGGCTGTGCTCACGGACCTGCGCAGGGCCACTCAGTATGAAGTGCAGGTCAGGGCGCGGACCATGGCTGGATACGGCAGCTTCAGCCCCACTGCCATTTTCCGCACTCTCCCTGATGGTGAGAGCGTTTTTCTCATCTCTTTTTTGTTGGTATTTCAATGGCAGAAAGGTTTTGTGGAGACCTTGGACAGTATTTGGTCTGCACTCTGCCTCTGTCCTTGTTAAAAGATCGTGCAGATGGCCTTTTTACATTTTACAAATTCCTCTTGTGTACATCTCATAACCTTTTAAATCATCTTTTTATCTAACTAAACCACGCACGATATTTTAACATAATGCGATATGGAAGATTTTTGTAACTTCAGATCATCTTAAATATGTGTCAGTACTAAGGCAGGCTTCAAATTTGGCAATCATGAATCAAAAGGTTGAAAAAAACAGAACAATTTTAAGAAAAGAATTTTACTAAACAACAGAGGACCTTAACATTGGGTATTGATCTTGCAATGCTGAGTTGATTTGCTATAATTTCAATTGACAGTTTGTGTAGGAAGTATGATTTCTGATAATAACTCACTAAATTCTCCATATTTTCCAGGACTTGACTCTCCCTCTCAGCTCGTTGTGACTGGCATCCTTATCGCGGTTGGGCTGCTGTTGCTCATCGCCTTCGTCTTTGTGGCAGTCTACTGTATACGGTGAGAACAAAAAAAAGGACAGATTTGTAAAAGAGGAAAGAAGTTGGCAGCAAAACAGGAAATGGAGGAAGAAAGAGGAAAATGTAGGGACATGTATGAAAAACAATGATGACCCCAATTTTGTGACTTTGCTCTTGCTTTGTTCTCTTGTTTACACAAATCATATCTAATCTGCATTGGATTTGCTCTCTGTTAGTCACACCAAGCCCAGAAGCACAAAGCAAGATGTCTTCTGCTTACCCAGCTAAAAGTTACCCCCTCTCATTATAAGAGTTTTCCGCATGCTTCATTGTTTCGATAAATACTCTTGGACCCCATCAGACGGAGAGGAGAGAGAGATGAGGGTGGAGCAGAGGGCAGAGAGAGGGGGAGAGAGAGAGAGACAGGATACAGGCGTCCCAGCCCGGTTTCCAACAGGACAGGCGAACAATAGCCACGACCTTGTGACACACGTGCACGCTCACACGCACGCACACACCAGTGGATGAGGCCCAGATCTGCCACTAAACCAAGGGTGGTGCATTACTGCTATTTTAGGCTTATGAGGTGGAGGAGGGAGAGAGAGGAATGGTGGAAGGCAGAGTTCCAGTCGCTACAGGGCTGTTCCAGTCTTGTACCGGGGTGATTTTTGTGCCGCAGTTGAATTGTAATGGAGCAGCTTGTGTGAAAGAAGAACTGTAAGGGGGTTGTGGCTTTTTATGTACAGCCGTCATCCCAAGTCACCGTGGTTTGTATGAAAAGAGCTGGCTGTGGATGGTTTTAAGGTTTTTTTCTGCACCGCGACTGGAGATTCTGTGTCAAAGCATAATAGATGATGCTGGTGTTTTTTGGAGCAGTGTGTTCTTACGGGCTTGTTGACTCAAGGGTATTGCTCTGTCACTGAACCTCACCTTTAACCTTTCAGCACAGTCAGCCAGTAAGAGCTCACGATTCCCTAAAGAGAGATTCATAGTTTAGTTATGACGCTGGCTATCATAAATCTATTTTATATTACCAATAATGACCCAAGATGTTCTGTTTTTGCAATAGCTGCTTACGATGCATCCTTTTGTTAGTTCATCTCAACAGTGGCATTGTGAGACCCCTGATTTGCATTGTGTCGAGCCGATAAAGGATTAGGAAGGCTTGCCACAAAATAATGTCTAACATTCAGCTGAGAGATAAGTGCGCTGCTGTCCTAATCTTCTCTCATTTATCCCGATCTCTTTCTACCTGCAGCAGACACGGCAGAATAAAGGATCCTGAACTGGGCGACAAAACCAGCCAGTACCTCGTGGGCCAAGGTAAGGGATCAAGGGCAAATGTGCTCTGTGATTTGCAGCTCATTCAAGTCAGGAAGAGTCCTTTTTATGCATCTCTATATGATTTTTGTCTTGACGTTTCTTCTTCTTCCTTTCCCACGACTTTGTTTGTCTTTCACTCAAAGGGGTCAAGGTTTATATCGACCCCTTCACCTATGAGGACCCAAATGAGGCGGTGCGAGAATTTGCCAAGGAAATCGATGTTTCCTTTGTCAAGATTGAAGAGGTCATTGGTGCTGGTAAGTCCTATCATTTATAAATGTTTAAAACTGCTACTTAACAGTCATTTTTCTGCTGCTGTTTAGCACTTTACTGCCCCCACTCTTCAATATTAAACTGAGCTGATTTAATACATTTAAATGTTGTTGTTCTTTGATAAAGATCAATACTGTCAGGTAGCCTAAATTAAGCAATTAACTGATAAAAATGTTGGTCATATTAACAGCCAACAATTAAATCAGCAGGGCAAGGGCAGTGCCAGCCAACGGCTATTTACGCTCTATGAAGATAAACAGCTCTTGTTAGTGTTGTAAACAGAGAAAACAGATTAATAATTCTTCTTTATTGTGTTTTGTCATTAGGAGAGTTTGGGGAGGTGTGCCGCGGACGTCTAAAGATTCCCGGAAAAAAGGAAAATTATGTCGCCATAAAGACACTGAAGGGAGGTTACACAGAGAAGCAGAGGCGGGACTTCCTGTCTGAGGCGTCAATCATGGGACAGTTCCAGCACCCCAATATCATTCACCTGGAGGGCATCATCACGGCCAGCTGCCCTGTCATGATCATCACTGAGTTCATGGAGAACGGGGCGCTGGACTCATTTCTGCGGGTGCGTGTAGCTCACTGGGCACAGCACATGGCACCAAATCAAACACACACTATCGTGCACACCATCACACACACCGTCACACACACACCCCCACACACACACCGTCACACACACACCCCACACACACACTAACACACACACCATCACATACACACCATCACACACACATGTTCACACACACCATCACACACAGACACCATCACACACAGACACCATCACACACAGACACCATCACACACACCCCCTAACACACACACTAACACACACACCATCACACATGCACACCATCACACACAGACACCATTACACACACACACACCATCACACACACACACACACACACAACACACACACCATCACATACACACCATCACATACACACCATCACACACACACTATCACACACACACACCATCACACACACACCATCACATACACACTATCACACACACACACACACCATCACACACACATGTTCACACACACACACCATCACACACACATGTTCACACACACACACCATCACACACACATGTTCACACACACTATCACACACACACCATCACATACACACCATCCCACACACACACACACCATCACACACACATGTTCACACACACTATCACACACACACCATCACATACACACCATCACATACACACAATCACATACACACAATCACACACACACCTTCACACATGCACACCTTCACACATGCACACCTTCACACACAGACACCATCACATACACATGTTCACACACACTATCACACACACACCATCACATACACACCATCACACACACACAATCACACACACACCTTCACACATGCACACCTTCACACACAGACACCATCACACTCAGACACCATCACACACAGACACCATCACACACAGACACCATCACACACACACCGTCACACACACACCACCACATACACCATCACACACACTATTGTCTTCTCCTGCTCAACTGTTTCTCTTTCTGCAGCTGAACGACAGCCAGTTCACTCCCATCCAGCTGGTGGGGATGCTGCGTGGCATCGCCTCCGGCATGAAGTACTTGGCAGAGATGAGCTATGTCCATCGAGACCTCGCCGCCCGCAACATCCTGATCAACAGCAACCTGGTGTGCAAGGTGTCCGACTTCGGTTTGTCACGCTTTCTGCAGGAGAACTCCTCAGACCCAACCTACACCAGCTCACTGGTGAGGAAATCCACTAACACTATTTGGATCATTTCAGTGTTTTATACATTGTATAAATACATAAATTTATATAAATAAATAATAAATTCTAATTTATTATGATTAGACATAAGATGATTGTCATTAACCCTGAAACATATTAACTGACATGTCAAATGTCAACAAAAAGTGGCTGTTTAAACATATGGACGGGTGCCTAAAATTACATGTACAAAGCAAACACATTATAGGAGACTATTGTTTTAGAATACTTGTATTCACCTTATTAGGCCAAAGACAAAGACCAGACATTTGGCAATGTGTATCTTCACTGTTATCTCCTTCTCACATGACACATTTGTTTCAAAAGGGATTATTTTACAACCCCACTTCCTCACCATTGTACTACTTCAGCTCTGTCAGACAATGAGTGTATGTGTGTATTATTTCTCACTATATTCATGTCCTTATAGGGAGGTAAGATTCCCATCCGCTGGACCGCACCAGAAGCTATCGCCTTCAGAAAGTTCACCTCTGCCTCAGACGTATGGAGCTATGGCATCGTCATGTGGGAGGTCATGTCCTTTGGGGAGCGGCCATACTGGGACATGAGTAACCAGGATGTAAGTCTCAGGGGGACTGTAGCTTTAACACAGTCTGTGGAGGGCTCAGCAGGGGTGCTTCTTTCTGCAGGTCGTCACTTTTGTAGACTGCTGATTCTCAATCATAAGTCAATTAAAAACATAGTTTTCAAATGCATCTGACAAGTATTTAGCATTTGAATATAATAAGAATATTTTTTAATATGGTATATTATTTATTATTTAAAAAAAATACTAATGCGTAAGTTCCTGTTATAAAAAGATGAATAATAATAATATCAATATATAGAATTGACTTATAATATTATATATTATTAATGTAACTACTGAATATGTGCAGCCATTATTACTGAAACTCCCATCAAGTGCTACATGCAGAAATAAACATAAATAAACAGCCAGTTATCAATACAAACAACATAAAATTATTTTCAGACTAATTTACAAATATATTATTTTTTAACAACCCTAATAATCTTGCATCCATTGTCCCAGGTAATAAATGCCATAGAGCAGGACTACCGTCTGCCCCCTCCCCCTGACTGCCCCACACACCTGCACCAGCTCATGTTGGACTGCTGGCAGAAAGACCGCTCTGCACGTCCACGCTTCTCCGATCTGGTCAGCGCTTTGGACAAACTCATCCGCAACCCAGCATCACTCAAAATAGTTGCCCAAGAAGCTGCAGGGTAAGAATTGGATGATTGATTGACAGAAAACTCAAATACATTTGGTCAGGCTTTGAATACAAGTCTATCCTTGGAATGTAAAGTATGGATGTGGAATGTGTGTCCTTTCCAAATGTCCTCTTTATCAGAGCTCTGACAGTTACAGGACAGGCATTGCACTCATACCATCCGCTGTTGTGGACCTTCACGTCCCGCTGGGAGCCTACAGACTCTTGCTGGGCCCATTTCCCTTCCTCCACATTGTCCCTGTGTGCTGATGGGACACAGCAGAGGACACTCCACCCCTGACAAATCCCATTGTTTGTCTCTGTCAGTCACAGCTCAGATTATACCTCTGCGGCCCACTGGAATGTGCTGCAGGATACGTATAAGCTAATGCTCTTGTTTCTGTGTCTCTAAGAAAGTCCTTTGTCTTTGCCCCCTCCAGGCCAGCATACCCCCTGCTCGACCAGCGTGCGCCTCTCGCCCCCTCGTCCTGCTCCTCGGTCGGAGAGTGGCTCAGGGCGATCAAGATGGAGCGCTACGAGGACAGTTTCCTCCAGGCGGGTGTCACCTCCGTGGACCAACTGGCCCAGATCAGCACACAGTCAGTACCTATCTTATCTAGAGGCACATTCGTCTTACACCTGTCACTATGCACTTAATCTATCTAAAGCTTTCAGTACCGCAATCAGGCTCAAGTCAGGACCTCCGATTTCAGTGGTGAAAACTAGGCCTAAGAGGCTTTTTGAATGTAATTATAGAGTAATGTGAGAGGGGATGTATTTGCTGGTCTAATAATTCAGTTCCTGTCAGCAAAATTCATTAATCACCTCTAGTACATGTTGTGTATAATTTAATAATGTCTGCTGGAGATGTAACAGAAATACATATTCACTCCAACATTTTTCCTTGTTGACATAACTGTATAATGTCCTGTCATTTCAGTTTTTCAAGTTATCATTTAATGTATATTACTACTTTTGACTATTTTAGCATTGTGTACTTGGTTTTATTCATGTGTTACCAAGCCTTAAATTCATTCAGATTTAGTTGGAGGCTGAAAATTGCTTTACTGTTTTTCTAACTGTTGCACGTTCTGTCTGCACAGAGACTTACTGCACATGGGGGTGACTTTGGCCGGCCATCAGCGGAAGATCCTGTGCAGCATCCAGACTATGACTTTTCGAAACAAGAGCACTACCACAGTCACCTTCTAGTCCCAGCGCAGCTCACCTGTCTCCCAACTCGGACACCAACACTGGCACACAGGTGCAGTGTAGCGAAAGCCCACTCAATCATCTCCACTGACCCACTTTGAGCATGGACTCCGGGAGAGATTGATCGAGTTTACTAATGACCAGAAAAAACACACAAAATGAATACGGATGACTTTCCCGTCAGCTCGGGGAGTTGTCTGCGGACCAGAGCGTCCCTGGAGGAGCGACTGGGATGAAACCGTGCGGACTGCCAGCTTTTTTACAGACATTTTGTATCTTCCTGAGGCTTAGGATTCAATAAATGTGTAAAACAAAGAGAGAGGAGACAGAATTTATAGTGTTTGTATTTTATCATGTCACATTGTCTCAAAAGAGAACTAACTACTTTTGCCAAAGGAGACAAAAAGCAAATGGAGGATCTCTGTTTTATGTTTTGTGCTATAATTGTAAGGACTTTGCTCATGTCTCATTTGAATCAAGCTAAACATTTGGACTGTTTTGATCATCTCCATTACCTCGTTTACTCAGGTGTGATTTTGGAGACCACTGTATTAGTCATTAGCGACTCTTCCTTAGAGCTGCTCTCCTCATCCTCCCAGCAGCAGCGGCAGCAGCAGCAGCAACAGTGTGGGTAGAGGAGACAGACTAAAACGTTTAGCACTTTTGGTGAACTGTAGTCTTGGGTTGCTCCACTTGTTTCGCTTGGTTTGTGGTTGGGTATTTCCACTGCCGGTTGTTTCTGTTGGCAGCTTTTAACTCTGATTGAAGGACCAAGTGGACACACACAGAGACCAGAGAACACTGTAGTATTTCTCTGTTTTCCTATTCTGTACTTAATCTCCATCTTCCAGTGCCAGTCGGTCATGTACTTGCCAATTTTACGAGTGATTAGATTTGTCTGATTTGAATGTACTATTGGGGATACTTTGACATTTTAATTTATTCTGGTTCCATGCTTTAGATGCACACACAGTTAATAAACATTTGTAAACCATTAGGAATAGCATAGCGGCAAACATGCTAGCCGCCAGTATCCAGTGGTTTCCGAGAGGAATGCAAACAGTGCTGGACTCCTATTTGATTAGTAGCACAGACCCACGATTCTTCACTTTATTACAAGTGCTTGTTGCTGAAGAATAACAGGCTGCAGTTCAAAATGTCAAAGTATTGCTCTAAGACTTTGCATCTCTTAAGGATAATACCAGCCTTTTTGACATTTAGGTGCTGTATAATTTGCTCACTCTAGTGTAACAGGAAAAATAGTAATGTCTAACACACCGAGTTTAATCTGTTTCATAGTGCAACAGATCCGCACCAGACAGCGCTTTCCTTCCAACTAATTTATGTAAACGATTATTACACTTTAATATAAAGCTTTATCTCCTTTACAAAAATGTCTAAGGTAGAAGTGTATTTGTATTTTTCTAATATACAAAAAGCCACAACAATGTAACAAATAACTTAATATTAATATTTTTTAAAATCATTTCATTGTGTATTCTCTCGGGTTTTCTGCCTTTCTGCCACTGTTCAGAGATTTTAAAAGGGGTTTATTGGCACACTGGTAAAGCTAAATATATGCCCCTAATAATGTTGATAAGGGTAAATTGTAATTTGTGTATGTCTGTTAGCTTTGTGCCTTACTGGCTATTGTCCATTGTGCATCCAAAGGCACATAGCAGCTGGTTCATGCTTTAGACCAGCTACAAATAAATTAATAACTTTTGTCAAAAAGATTTCCCACAACATTTATTTCCTGTACTGTATAATTTATGCCTTAGACAAAAATCCTGGTGTTATCATCCAATGCCATATAAGGGAAAACTGAAGCTAAATGTGGTCTTCATATTGAAGACCTCAATACAATAGCATTGAATGGAAAACTAGACAAAGTATGTTTTGAATACCATCTTGTGTGTAGACAACTGTGTACTCAGTATTCATAATAAAATACAGCAGTGTTCTCATGTAGTCTTTCTTTTTCAGTTAATGACGTTATATTGACCAGGCCTTATCTCCATCTCTGCAGCTGTGTCTATCATTGATGTCAACTGGAAGTCAATGCGATGTCCAGATTTTAGAGATTAGTCCAGATTCTGATTCCTATAACTTGGTCTTCTGTGATAAATCAATATGCATAAATATAATGGTTTGTTTTTATAAGGCCTATACTAAACTTTAAATATATTTGGAATGTTTTGTTATTAAGATGCAATTTCAGTGAATATCATTTTAATTTGTAGAACTATGTTGAAATAGGATGAAATCACTGAACCTAAAACAAAATATACTTGACCATTAATATGTTATAATATGACTTAGTCTTTAGGCAAGTTTAAATAGAGATTGTCATTAATATGCATTGTGCCTAAAATAGTTCCAAGTCATAATGAAAGCAAACAACCAGTCTTTTTATTCACCTTTTATTATTGTTTCTCAACTAAAATCCATGCATTCTGCAGTAAACAGTGGATCCAGTGTTAAAAGCTAAAATTCCAAACCTGCATCTCATTTCCCTTTGTAATTCTTCTGCTTTTATGTTTAGTCCGATATCACCAGTCCTAAAACTAAGATCACAGACAGAATTTGTGTCACTACAGTGTGTGCGAGGCTATTATTTGCTCTTATTTGCGTCTCTGGTTGCAAACACGCCTCTCATCTATCCTCCTGTTTTTAATAATGAGGCTGGCAAAGAAACCGGAGACTGTCGTGGCTAAACCGAATCTCTCCCCTCAGCACTGTAGCCGTTCTCCATGCCTTGTATTTCTCCAGAGAGGTTTTTCACCCCCTCCAGGGCTGCTAGCGTGTCCTCGGCCATGTTCCCCTTCTGGTCCTCAGCACTTTTAATCATAAAGAGATGTTCTATTCTTCTGCAGTGCCCCAGGCTCTGAGCAGCTTATAGCATGGCACAAGCTTAAAAACTCTTTCACACATACAAGGCTGCTGTACTGTGCTAAAGTTTTAGTGAGGTGTGAAAGGAGACTGATAATGTATTTTTGTTGTGTGTGTTATAGCAGCTGCAAGATTTAAAGAAATTATGTAAAATTATGTTAGGCCAAAGTGGATTGCTTAAATCCATTTTGGGGTTGGGCTGACTCAGGTCTGATAATTCTTCAACCCAAATCTTGAATCATTTCAAAGGAAGCAGGAATAAAGCCATTTACCACTGAATAATCACAGACAAATATCTAGATCCCAGAAGCACCTGTACCACAGTTGCTACTATGCGCAAACAATAGTAATTTTTCTCCTTTAAATTAATGTGAGTTTTAGACTTTAGACTTAGACTTAGGCAAACTTAAAACAAAAATATAAATGTATGTATAATTGCAAGAGACTGGTGTCAAATATGCATAATTATACAGATGTATATGTACATATATATATATATATATATATATATATATATATATATATATATATATATATATATATATATATATATATATATATATATATATACATATATACATACATATACACATATATACATATATACATACACACATACATATACATACATACATACAAACACACACACACACAAATACAAAAATACAAATAAAAATGTATAAAGATGTTCAAAATGTAGGCAAAAAAGAAGCCATATAAAATATTTTGAGGCTCATTTGAAACATCAAGTCTGAATAGGTCTGGGCAATGGGCACTATATTCCCATACTGAAAACCGGCATTGTACACCCACTGTCTCTTTAGTCTGATTTCTGCCATAATCCTCCAGCAAGAGTGTTAAGTCTCCTTGATTAATGTGTCTTGATTATCAGTGAGTTACTGACTCATAGCTCTTGTTGCCCTCATGTGACTCCGTACAGACCTGCCCTGTCGATAAATAACTTTACCCAACAGTTATGGTGTGTGTGTTTTCCCCTGCAGACCCATAGCGACAGACCAGTATTCTACGTCTGTCAGTGTTTTGGATGAACTCTGACCCCAGCATATAGTGCAGATCTGGCCCTGGCTTTGTGCTTTCTATCAATGGCCATTCATTATGTTGTGCTGTCGAGAAAGGACCAACCAGATTGGAGGGTTTTGGAGGATTGTGTCATGGGCGTGCATTCCTCTGTGCATTCAAGTGGAGAGCACGGGTGCGAGTGGAGTGATGATGGCGGGTGTCAGGTTTGGGGGTTATCGGGCTATGGGGCAGGTATGTTTGGGGCAGGAGAGGGTGTAAGGAGCACACAAGGGCTGTAGTCATGCATGGGACCATGTGGGAGGTACAGATGTTCACTAATTCTATAATTTGTAGGTTATTCTATAGACCTCTTTGTCTTTGTTTAGCCTTAATGAGACTGGTTAAGTTTTGGTTGGATTTGGCTTCAGGGTGTGGCCCAGGGTCTTTTAGTTTAATCATAGTATTTATTCTAAGCATTTTAAACCTTGAAATGAATTATATTTCAGCAACAATGTGCCTTCTGCGGGATTAAAAGAAATGCTTTAAATCTAGTAAGACCATAGTTTTTTTTTAAGATGTTTCTGAATGTTTTACTAGCTGTGATCTAAGTTATCATAAGCTTTTGCTTACTTCTTATCTCTTTTCAGGTCCCATATGGGGTCAAGAAAACAATTTATTAGTTTATGGCCTGGTTTAGGAAAACTAACCAGAGCTGCCTGGTTTTTGAGCCTGGCTCTGGTCTGGTTGTATATCTTTACCATAAGATAAGCCTGAAGCTCTGGTGGAGGTCTGTGCTCTGTGAAAGCTTCATACCAGGAAGTTTACAATTATCCAAGATTTCAGAAAGTGCTCAAATGCTACCACCATAAACAGTTTTCTCCTCTAAATCTTTTTAATTACAAAACCCTGCATAGACATTCTTGAGTTTGGCTGGCGCTTCAAATGCCTGGATTCTTCTTCTGTGATGACAATTTGATCCAAATAGAAAATCCTACACACAACGAGACAGGATTATTTGTCACCTGTGCATGCATAATTGTTGTAAGAGATGCCTGCCCAGCCTCTCCACTCAAATTCTGTATTAAATCAGATCAATGGGAGAGGTGTCATCCCTGCTGTTGTACAGAAATGTTTGTTGATTTTGCACTGAGTCGTATCCAGTCCATCACTACGTTTTAGCTGACCCACCTGGTTAAACAGAGTGTGGAAAGAACTTAATTATACTCCCATACACCAGTAAAGTTTGAAGTAGCGCCAGCCTTGTTATTTTAGCACATGCCTAATCCACATAATAATCTGAGTAAACCTTTAGATTGCAGGTCCCGCTGTCTTCCTGTTCCTCTTACTGGTGTTTGTCGTCAAATATTCTTTAAAGTATTTACTCCACCCGCCTACTTCCTGAATCAATTTAGACTCAATACAAATAAATAATTCACGAAATCTTCTTTGCCTTTCAGCCATTCCTGTTCAGGGTTTGCAAATTAGCTTTCTGCATTTAGCAATTTAACCCTCCCTTTTGGATCCATCTTTACGTCTATTCATGAATCTCATGTGCCCTCTTAACTGGCAGCTCTTACCTCAGTCAGCATCAGCAATATGTTCTGTACATTTGGGGTCTATATGATCGTTTGGGCCTGGGTAGGACTTGGATGGGAGACCGCTGAGAATAACAGATGCCCTAGGCCTTTCGCCCACCCTGTATGAATGAGGTGTGTGAGTGATTGGTGGTGCTCATAGAGGCAGATAGCGCAGAATGGCAGCCTCGCCTCCATCAGTCTACCCCTGTGAATACAGTTTACCATCACCAGGTGAAGAGTGACTGAATAAAGCAATGTAATGTGTCTATATAAATATATATCTTATCATATATTTATTACTATATATTATTTAACATAAAATCATATTCATAAGGCAAATCTCTCTACACACCTGAGAAAAATAACGTGTCTGTTTTTGATCAATGCAGACTAACATCACAAACTACATCACTATCTTGAATATGAGCTGTCTTTCTGATGTATTCATTAAAATAGCGTCTGCCCCAAATCATCAAAACATCTTTAGCTCTCCTTCTGTCTGTCTAATCTCACATGTTTCTTGTTACACCTGGGCACTACAGATCTGTGCCTCTCTGTCTGGTTTTCAGTCCGCTCACAGCAGCAGCCATCAGTCTCCCCTGTGGCCCCCTTTTGTTCTCCGCATCCTCATCCACTAGAAATGAAATAACTTTGACCTTCCTTGCATCTTGTCCCTAAATCACCCCTTGTTCAGAGCCGATCCACGCTTCAAGGACCGCTTTGGAATTCAAACTATGGTAAACTGAAGAAAAAATAAAACGTATGAAAGCCTTTTGAGATAATGGAATCAGTTTGGTGTGTGATATGCGTCCATTTTGAAGCTAAAATCAGACGAATGGTTTTAGTTTTTAGTGCCATGCTTAACCCTTCACACATGCCTCACCTTGAAGCACTAACTCAACCTGACTCCTCTGTTCCTTTGACCCCTATCAGTGTATATCTTCACCTAAAGCACAGGAACCCAATGCAACCATCCCCAAACTTTTCCAGACCCTCCAAATGTGTTTTGGGTTCGATCTGGTTACAACAATTTATCAACTCAACAAGGTAGGCATTACTACTTCTACTTCAGCGCTACCACTAAAAATACCTGAGCTGTGCAATAGATCTTAACTTAATTGGTAAGTCATGATAGTCATGATGGATAGTTATCTGTAATTGTCAGTGATATGCTTGGGCCTTTTTAATCCAGAATTATTTTATTTAGTTTGACTAATTTGAGGGGATAACTGTATCGATTACTGTAATTTTTTAAATATTGTTTGTCCTATCACCCAGCCACTACTTCTATAAGAGGTAGATAATGATAAGTAGCATTAACAGCCTTTTGAATAATATATATCAAAAGTAGTTTGACTTACACAAACGCAATGATGCCCTAATTACTTGAAGCAGCATTACACCAATCCATTACTGTGGTGCACTTACCAACCAAGGCCATAGAAAAGCTTTATTACAC